ATGAATCACAGCACGCCAGGCCTCCCTGTCCATCACCAACTCCCAGAGTCCACCCAAACTCACGTCCATTGAGTCGGTGATGCCATCCAACCAACTCTTCTGTCATCCCCTTCTCCTTCTGCCCTCAATCTTTCCCAGCATCAGGGTCTTTTCAAATGACTCAGCTCTTCGCATCAGGTGGCCAAAGTATTGGAGTTTCAGCTTCAGCATCAGTCCTTCCAATGAACACCCAGGATTGATCTCCTTTCTTTAAGCCAACTTCTTCACTCTCCTCTTTCACTTTCATCAAGAGGCTTTTTAGTTCTTCTTCACTTTCTGCCATAAGGGTGGTGTCATCTGCATATTGAGGTTGTTGATATTTCTCCTGGCAATCTTGATTACAGCTTGTGCTTCTTCCAGTCCAGCGTTTCTCATGATGTACTCTGCATATAAGTTAAATAAGCAGGGTGACAATATACAGCCTTGATGTACTCCTTTTACTATTTGCCACCAGTCTGTTGTTCTATGTCCAGTTCTAACTGTTGCTTCCTGACTTGGATACGGGTTTCTCAAGAGGCAGGTCAGGTGGTCTGGTATCCCCATCTCTTTCAAAATTTTCCACAGTTTATTGTGATCCACACAGTCAAAGGCTTTGGCATAGTCAATAAAGCATAAGTAGATGTTTTTCTGGAACTCTCTTGCTTTTTCGATGATCCAGTGGATGTTGGCAATTTGATCTCTGGTTCTTCTGCCTTTTCTAAAACCAGCTTGAACATCTGGAAATTCACAGTTCACGTATTGCTGAAGCCTGGCTTGGAGAATTTTGGGTGACCTCACTCACCATCTATTTGAGTCAAGGTTTCTTGTTGCAAGCAATAACCACAGTACTTTTGGCTTATTTAAACAGGAAAGGAATCTCAAAAAGGACTGAAGAGTCAGGTTGGAAATCTGTGTCTCCAGGAAGGACATGTAGAACCATGCTGGACAACTAGTACAGTGAAGATGCTTCAGCCGCTACCTCTGGGCACTGAACAGCCTCACAGCTTGCACAACTGACCACAGCGGACACTGATGCTCTAACTGATGAAGGGCTTACTGCCGCTGTGGCCACCCTTCCAGAAAGGATTCTCTGCAGGCTCTGCCTTGCGGCATCTTTAGTCCCCTAGGGTGGATGAATCTCATCGGTGTTCTTCAGGTCACAGGCCCAGGCGTAGCGACAAGAGAGGCTGGAAAAGCAGTCTCTCCCTATAAAGTGAGGGATTCTCAGATCTAAGAATGTAAGTTGTTTATGGCAAACATTCTCCATGTGTGTACTTCCTGAACGTTTTGTTTGTGAGCCATCTGGAGATCTTGTCAAGGTGCAGATTCTGATTCAGTAAGTGTAGGTGGCGCCTGAGATTGCACAGCAATGCTGCTGGTCTGAGGACCATACTTTGAGTAGCAAAGCTTTATACCAAAGATTTTCAAATTTAGTTGCATATTAGAGACACTTGAGAAACATAAAATAAAAAACCAACATCTGGGTGTCATCCTCAGCTGACTTAACTGGTCTGAGGGAAGGCCTCGTAATGCAAACTTTTAAAGCTCCAGATGATTGCAGTGACCTCAGATACCATCTTTCACTGCAGGTTCCAGCTGTTCGTCACTTTGCAAGGTTATTTCTTTTTTCCAAAAGCCCAGGTTGCCACTTTTCCAGTCTTGGTTTGTTCCCCCTTCAAACTGAATAACTCTTATTTATTATGCAGAACAATTTGACACTCTACCCCCTAGATCCTGAGACCTAACTCTGTAAATCCAAAGACTGGATAGAGTTCTCCTAATCCAGGATTTTCCTGTCGCCCTGGGAGAGTGTGATCTAAAGTGATCCATGGACAATATTGTTAGGAATGTTAACAGTTCTATATTTTAACATGCATTGCCAAAAGATGTAACTAACACAATAAATATAATTTCGTAAATATTTTTCTTTAGGACAAGTCAGTATTTTTTAAAAATAGGTAAATAATGAAATAGAGATTCTTAACAGATACAATTTAAATTATGAAAATGGTTTGCAAATGAACGAGAGTGTTTATACTGCTAATTTTAAGCTTTCTATCCAAAGTCATGGGTTTTAGGAGCACAAAAGAACTGGCAGAAATATTTTATTGGTCTTTTTTCTTCTCTCTTCCCTATCCGTCTCTGGAGGACAGGAAGCAATACAGAGATTTATTTCTGAATTTATGTGAATTACACTATCAATCTTAGCACACTGAAATAGTTACAGTCAACCTTGATCTTAAATCACAATTGTTTCTCTCTATATTACATGGAGATTTTATAAGGTTTTAAGAAAATATGATCAACCTTTGAAAAGTCATGAGCTAAACAAAAATAACCGTAAGAATTGCTTATGGAATATGAAAAATAGGTGAAATTCCCTAACCAGTTAATCTTTGACAAGAAAATGGGTGAAAATTTTTAGAATCCTTGAAACTTAATCTACAATTCCAGAGAGTCCAAAAACTCCTGAGGAGGAGAAATTTTTAAAACTCTTCACCTTGCCACATCATTGTGAAATTTCAGAACACCTAAGAAAAACAGCAATTAGAGTGACAGCAGATTTCTCTAGCAACAGAAACCAGAAGATAACAGAATAATATGTTCAGTATTCTGAGGAAAAAGACAGTGGCTAACCTAGTATTACATATCCAGTAGAATTATCTTAAATGAACAAGGGCAAAATAAACGTGTTTCGGGTGAAAAACTTGAGTTTGCCACATATCACACTTATTAAAAGAAATTCTATAGAATTTACTTCAGGCAAAAGGAAAACCAAGCAGAAACAAGATCTGAGATATGAAAAGAAATGGTAATCAAACTATTTTTACACATGCAGATGGGTCGAAAAAAAAAATGTCTAATTTACAGAAGGAAAACAGGATAGAACTAAAGTAGGGATTAATAATAGCTTCTAAATTAGTAGGGGTGTGCCAAGTTAAAACATCCTAAGACCTTTGAATTATTCAAGAGGTAAGTAAAGATATTTAGTGGCTTGAGACTTTGTTTACAAGCTATAAAACAGTAGAAAAATCACCTTACAATATACAAGGCGAATGACTCCAAATAGAGAAAAAGACACATGCCCAAGTGCATGCACTCACATAGGTGCATGCAATCGCATGCGCACGCGTGCGCGCACACACACACACACACTCCAAAAGAAATTTCTTTTGCAAGTTCTTGACATTTTAGTCTTCACTGTCTGCCACTCTTATTCATGGTAGATAGTATAATTTTTCATCCTGAGCTTAACTTTAAAGGGTTCTTTTATCCTGAGAATCCCTTTCACCCTTTTATGGAAGCATCCCTACAGGTTGGTTTTGTTTGTTTTTGCCAGGCATTCCAGTTGCACCTTGTCTGGGAACTTTTTGCCGGGAGGAAGTAAAGGTTAAGAGGAATTAATTTGTAGGTTTTGAAATCCCAACACCAGCCCAAGTGCTATAAACTCCAAACTCATGAAATGCAAGCTTAGGATTTTTAAATTTCATCAGTTAAATAATTTTCATTTTCATCCAGAAAGAGGACACCTGCTTGTCTCCTGGGTAAGTTTTCCACTTGCCCTAGTCTGCCCTTTTCCTGAGGTGATGTCTCATGGCCAACGGCCTTTTGTAGTGTGCTCGTACCAGAGCCCACCCTGCGCCACTCCACACCCTTACCTCTGCCCTGCACTTTCAGGCCTCAGGTTACAAAGACCAACGTTTTGCCCACACCTAAGATGACACAGCTGTTCTCGTCCGCCTCTGACCTGGTTTCCAAGGATGTAGCGGTTTTTCAGTTCCAAAACCAGGAAGGTTCAAGGCAAGGCAGATTAATCACTATACACCCCAGCCCTCACACCAACAACTGTCAGAGAAGAATCAGTTCAACAAGTCACTGCTCTGATTTTCAGTAAATAAACTGAAAATAAACTGAAATCAAATAAGATTTCTGGCATCTTGGTATTTGCCTTCATTTTTATGAGTTTAGCAGCACATTCAAAATAAGGTTAATTATTATACTATCCAGTGATGTTAGGTGTTTGTGGTCAGTTTTTCTGGTTACTGAAAAAAATAACATTTTCTTGTTTCTCGTCGGTACAGAAGTGAAATCTGAGGATAAAAGCCACGGGTACTCCTTGTGGACACAGCGTGCTGGAGGAGTTTCCAAAGTTCTGCGCTTTGCTGCCCCAGCTGCCCTGCAGTTCACCCTTGCTCTAGGCCTTGTTTCTCTGACCTTGAAACGGTTTTAGAACTCTCTAGGCAGGCCTGGCTTCTTTCTGTGAGGCTTAGAAGGAAAATTCTCCCCCTCACAATGTGAACTCCCCAAACAAAGGAATGTCTGACTGTTTTGTTCCCTCCTACACCTTGGGTTTCTGGCAACCGCAGGCCTCGATGACTGTTTCTTCAAAGAAGGAACATCTTGAACGCCAAGCTGGCCTGCCCTAGCTGGTGTTTCTTCCAATCCAACCCCATCTTCCTCAGAGTTGAAAGGAATTCGCCCAAGTTTTTGTACTTTTGACGCCTCTGTGCCTGTTCTCCATATCTGTACTTGTATTTTCTATTTCTGTTGGCGTTTCCATCGATTTTGGTGGCCAGAGTAGGGGTGACCACGATCGGGCTAATCCTGTGCCTTCAGGACGCCATTTTGAAACTAGCGCCTGGACATATTCAAGTTTGTCTTCCACTTTAATGTATATGTGAGTATGTCTAGTTATGTCAGGCGTGCCTCCACGGCACTTTCGGGGTAACAGGCCTATCGGTGGGTCGGCCAGCCCCCTCATGTGGGGGTGGCGCTTGTGGGGGTGTGGGATGACCGCCCTTACGTGCCCCCTGCGTACCCTCAGCCTGCGCAGTCGTGCTCCGAGAGCCTCCCACCCACCCCCACCCCCACCGCGGGGGCGGGGGGGGGGGGGGGCGCCAGCGCGGCCGCCCATTGGCTGAGGCGCCTTCCCGTCGAGCCCCCGGCACCTTGCGCAGGAGCCACCTCCCGGCGCCCTGCTGGCCACGCCTCAGTTCGCAGGCGCCCCTCGGCCTCGCCACCCGTCTCTGACTCTCTCCGCCTAGTGTGCCACCTATCCCTCTGCCCAGTCCGGCCGGGCAGCGGGCAGGAGCAGACCCAACAGCAGCTCCGAGCACGGTGCCCGAAGCCAGCCTCTGCTTCATCCTCGAGCCCCTCGGAGGGAACACTGGCTGTCGCCATCATGGTGAGTGGAGGAGGCCCAAGGGGGCTCCTTGGGGCGGCCAGGACGCTGAATGGGGCGTGGGGTGGGACCCAGAGCTGGGCTGCCGGGCTTGCCTGTCCTGGGGGCCCAGTCTGAGGGCGGACTAGGCGGCCTGGCGCGGCCCCCGCGGCACCGAGGGCGGGCGGAGGGGATGAGGCCGGGCTGTCGGAGCGCTGGGGCCCGCTGCCCAGCACGTGCAAGGCCTGTGGCCTTCGGGCGGCAGCTGCCGGGGTATGGAGGGGCGCCTGGCAGTCCGCCGGCTGTACTCCGAGCGGGGCCTGCGCTCCCACGCCACCTCAGAAGCCTCGTTTCCCGCGCTGACCGAGGCAGACGGGCGGCCTGGCCTCCGCGAGATGGCGTCAGGCCTGGCGCGGCACTTGAGGCGCACGCGGGCGGGACGCCAGGGGGCGGGAGGCACCGAGAGGCCTCTGGAGGCGGGGGCCCCACGGGCCGGAGCGAGGCTGGGGCCGGGGCCTAGGGGCCTGTGGGAGTGTGTCCATGCGGGAGGGTGCGGGCGCCGGGAAGCCCGAGCCCCTGAGGTGACCTCGTGCGTGTGCGGTGGCAGCCGCCGCAGAGACCTCGGGTAGGGACGCCATCATCTCCTCATGAGGTCAGAGCTGCCCTCGCCTCGGGGCGGTCGCGGAGTGGGAAGCTCGAGGGATTTTTAACTTGGGAAATACTTTCCCTTAAACCAGAAACCTTCCAACAGAGCGTCCCTCGAGTATTAACGTGGTCTGTTGGGTGGCATTTGTGAGCGTTTTGTTAAATGCATTAGAGTTGATTTACCACCTCAAGGGGCAACTCTTGAGAACACTTTTGACCGATTATCAAGCCTCGGATGATGTCCATAGCATCAAATACTGTAGTGTAGTATCGTCTGTAGTGTAACATACACTAGTATACACTATTTTTAGAAGTAAAGGGAGAAATTTTATATACAATTTATTAGTGCTCACAAAGTTTAAAAGTTTACAAGTGTATGCAACTGTTTGTAATAATCGTGTCTTGTACTTATCCACATCAGTAATTACTTAATAAGCTGTGTTACTGTGAATGTTTACGGCTTTGTCCTCTTTTTTTAAGAGGGCAAGGGAAGAAATGCATGTTTATTGATTTTTTTCTTATATAAAACTAGCATGTTAACTCATTAGAAAGTAATCAGTGTAAGGAAGTAGAGATCCATCTTAAACCAGGTATGTAAACCACTCTGAAGTTTTGATGAATGTCAAGATTGCTTTCCTGTATGGATTGCAAATAGATAGGTATATTTTATAAAAATTGTACAGTACTTTGTAATACTATATTATAACCTGTATCTTTCACTTAATATAGTGGGCCTTAGTCCAAAGAGAAATTTAAAATAATTTTGAATACATAATTGCTTACTTTACCAAAAATTGTATATGTAAATATTACCATTAGTTATTTTTACAAAATTCCCTTATAATGAATAATTTGTGTACATGAAAACAGTACAGTAGTGGGTATCTTTGTGAAAATGTTTTGGCCTGTTTATTCTATTAATAGCTTGAAATAAATTTCCAGTAGAGTCACTGGTTGAAAGGGTTATGCCCATATTTTAACAGTTTTGAACTATGATAATTTTTTCCTAGTAACTCTTGGTAAAGGATATACTAGTATATATTCTCACTGATGGTGTATAATATGACCCCCTTTCCATGTACTTCCCAGTGAAAGGTAGCATATGTTTTAAAGTTGCCAGTCTAATTGGAAAATATTCCACTTGTGTTAATGTACTTTTTTTTTAATCATTAGTGAAGTTAAAGTTTGTCATTAACGTTTTCCGTTTTTCTTTTTTTCCATTCTTGATCCACCTTTCTATTTGTATTTGTCTTTTCATGGTGATTTATAAGAACTCTATATTAATATTTACATTTGTCATATATAATGAAAAAAATTTATAGTGATGATAAGGAGAGACCCTTATTTCTAGTTTCAGCATAAATTACTGTCATGTTTTACTTTGAACTTAATGATAATCTAGAATTAGACTGATAGAAAATAAGGTTCTTTCATTTTACTTGAGTTTTTTTTTAATTAAGAAATACTGTATTTTATCAAATGATTTTTCTGTGGTGAATTACAGTAACAGATTTCCTAATGACCATACTTGAATTTACAATAAGCTGCTCTTAACTGTATATTTTTTTGTATGCTGCTAGACTTTCCCATCTCTGTGTTGGGTGCAGGAGTGGACCATCTTAACCAGGTTTTGCGATAGTAGTCATATCCCATTTTTTCAAGACTATTGTGTATTTTTGTATTCTTGCCTTTTTCTTGCTTAGTTTTCCCAGGATTGTATGTTTATTGTTTGGATTCCACCCCCCTCCCCTGAGAGTTTACTCTTGGATTTACTTAAAAGGTTTTATTCTGATTTTCATGTACAGTTTCCTTAATAGAATTTCATTTTCTCTTTAATAACTACTTCCTTCTGTGATGTAACACTGATGACTGCAAATTAGAGACTGTTAGTTTGACCTAGTCAGTATACATAGATTTCAGTTTGCTTGCATGTAGACGTTAATAGTTGAATGAAATGTTGTCAAAGAGCTGACATCCCAGCTTTAGTGATGATAAGTTTTATTTCCAGCTTTTAGTTATCTTTGTCACTTGGTCATTCAAATATAAAAGGGAGTCCATTACTGAAAATAATAGTGGTGAGAATTGTGTATATAATGGCCTCCAAGTTTACCCCTACTTAATATTCCAGAATTACTCATTTTAGAACCCATCAACTCAGGTGAAGGTGTAATTAAGAAAAATAATTACTTCTGTCACCTAATTTACATGTAATTTATTTTCTGCATGCTATTGATTAGTTATGATTAATTCTTTAACACCAAACTTTTAGCTTTAACCTAAACTAGCATCACTAGCTCAATGGACATGAGTTTGAGCAAAATTCAGGAGATAGTGAAGGACACGGAAGCCTGGCGTACTGCAGTCCATGGAGTAGCAAATAATCAAACACAACTTAGCAGCTGAACAAAAACAAGAATTCATTTGTAGAGTATTTTTGGCAGTAGTTTAAAAGTAATGGAAGATTGTCTATTGGTTGTGGATTTTTATGCATAAGTTGTGCTGCTAATGCTAAGTTGCTTTAGTTGTGTCCAACTCTTTGTGACCCAATGGACTGTAGCCTGCCAGGCTCATCTGTCCATGGGATTCTCCAGGCAAGAATACTGGAATAGGTTGCCATGCCCTACTCCAGGGGATCTTCCCCACCCAGGAATCAAACCCACGTCTCTTGCAGGCGGATTCTTTACCCACTGAGCCACCTAGGAAGCTCATATATAAGTTAATAATTGTATAGAAATACACACACAGGCAAAGTTTTTAAAATCCCTGTTGTTTAGGCCTCTTAAAAGGAGTACGTTCCTTAGTTTAGCTTTGAGCACCACCTGCTGGCTAATAGGATGGACAGAATGGTGCCTTCCTTAAGACCTGACCATAGTGAAATGGTTAGATGAATTTTATACTTAATATCTCAGTTTGTACAACCCAAAGGAAACTGTCTATAGCATCTAATGGGTTTCTCTTTTTTGCAGATTACTGTTTTGTTGTCTCAAATATCCATTTTACTCTGTAAACAGAACATGAGATTTAGAACTTTACTGTTCAATTCTGGCAACAATATCACCGGGTTTTTCAACTGTCAGTTCAGTTCAGTCACTCAGTCGTGTCTGACTCTTTGCGACCCCATGAATCGCAGCACCCCAGGCCTCCCTGTCCAACACCAACTCCGGAGTCTACTCAAACCCATGTCCATCGAGTCAGTGATGCCATCCAACCATCTCGTCCTCTGTCGTCCCCTTCTCCTCCTGCCCCCAATCCCTCCCAGCATCAGGGTCTTTCCCAATGAGTCAACTCTTCACATGAGGCAGCAAGGTATTGGAGTTTCAGCTTCAGCATCAGTCCTTCCAATGAACACCCAGGACTGACCTCCTTTAGGATGGACTGACTGGATCTCCTTGCAGTCCAAGAGACTCTCAAGAGTCTTCTCCAACACCATAGTTCAAAAGCATCAATTTTTCAGCGCTCAGCTTTCTTCACAGTCCAACTCTCACATCCATACATGACCACTGGAAAAANTGCAGCTCACCGGGTTTCCCTGTCCTTCACCATTTACCCAAGTTTGTTCAACTCATATCCATTGAGTCAAAGATGCAATCCAACCATCTCAACCTCTGTCTCCCCCTTCTCCTGAAGCCTGCAATCTTTCTCAGCATCAGGGTCTTTTTCAGTGAGTTGGCTCTTCTCATCAGGTGGCCATAGTATTAGAGCTTCAGCATCAGTCCTTCCAGTGAATAGTCAGAACTGATTTCCTTTAGGATGGACTGGTTTGATCTCCTTGGTGTCCAGGGGACTCTCAAGAGTCTTCTCCAACACCGTAGTTCAAAAGCATCAATTCTTCTGCACTCAGCCTTCTTTACGGTCCAACTCTCACATCCGTACATGACTACTGGAAAAACCATAGCTTTGACTATACAGACCTTTGTTGGTAAAGTGATGTCTCTGCTTTTTAATATATTGGCTAGGTTTGTTGTAGCTTTTCTTTGAAGGAGCAGGCAACCTTTAACTTCATGGCTGCAGTTACTGTCCAGAGTGATTCTGGAGCTCAAGAAAATAAAGTCTGTCACTGTTTCCATTTTCTTCCATCTCTTTGCCATGAAGTGATGGGACCAGATGCCATGATCTTAATTTTTTGAATGCTGAGTTTAAAGCCAACTTTTTCACTCTCCCCTTTCACCTTCATCAAGAAACTCTTTAGTCCTCTTCATTTTCTGCCATTAGGGTGGTGTCATCTGTGTATCTGAGGGTGATATTTCTCCCAGCAGTCTTAATTGCAGTTTGTGATTCATCCATCCCGGCATAAGGAAATGGCAACCCACTCGAGTATTCTTGCCTGGAAAATCCCATGGACATAGAAGCCTGGTAGGCTATAGTCAGTCCGTGTGGTCGCAAAGAGTTGGACACAACTGAGTGACTTCACTTTCACTTTGACTTCACTCTTTATAGAAGTTAAATAATCAGGGTTACAATAGAGCCTTGCCATACTCCTTTCCCAATTTTGAACCAGTCTTTTGTTCCATGTCCGGTTCTAACTGTTGCATCTTGACCTGCATACAGGTTTCTCAGGAGGCGGGTAAGGTGGTCTGGTATTCCTATCTTTTGAAGAATTTTCCGGTTTGTTGTGATTCATACAGTCAAAGTCTTCTAGCATAGTTAATGAATCAGAAGTAGTTGTTTTTCTGGAATTCTCTTGGTTTCTCTATGATCCAAAAGATGTTAGCAGTTTGATCTCTGGTGCCTCTGCCATTTCTAAATTCAGCTTAAACATCTGGAAGTTCTCAGTTCATGTTTTGTTGAAATCTAGCCTGAAGGATTTTTAACATAATCATCCTTATGTGAAATGAGCACAATTGTATGTTAGTTTGAACATTCTTTGGCATTATTCATCTTTGGGATTGTAATGAAAACTGACCTTTTCCAGTGCTGTGGCCACTTCTGAGTTTTCCAGATTTGCTGGCATACTGAGTGCAGCACTTTAATAACATCATCTCATAGGATTTGAAATAGCTCAGCTGGAATACCATCACCTCCAGTAGCTTTGTAGTAATGCGTCCTAAAGCCCACCTGACTTTACACTCCAGGATACCTGGCTCTAGGTTAGTGACCACACCATTTTGGTTATCCAGGTCATTAAGACTTTTTTGTACAATTCTTCTGTGTATTCTTGCCACCTCTTCTGAACCAGTTCTGCTTCTGTTAGGTCCTTACTGTTTTTGCCCTGTATTGTGCCCATGTTTGCATGAAATGTTCCCTTGGTATTTCCGGTTTTCTTGAAGAGATCTCTCGTCTTTGCCATTCTGTTGTTTTCCTCTACCAGGTACACCCCTCAGTTGAGAAAACCAAAAAGTGCCCCTGGGTCACAAAGTCTTCCCCAGGTTGAGAATCAATATATTATCATAACCCTTTTTACTCCAGTTTTCTGGGTGAATACTATACCTCTCAACTGAAATACATCTATCCATTGTGGTTCACAAACAGCTAATACTATAAAGTTTATCAAATAAAAAGATATTGAAAATTCATCCACAAATGAATGGGAAATTGAAGAGAAAGTCTTTAAGAATTTTAGAACTGCCTTGGGTGTTTGAATGTGAGTTAATTGAAAGAGATTAGTAAATTTTCTATCGTGGAAAGAAATCTAGTCAAATTTCTCTATAGGTCAAGGTATATGACTTATGTAATATAGTCCCATTTAGAAAAAAGTTATAAAACATTTAAAAATGGAATAGCTTTAAAAATAGTTTTTATTCTCTCTGACTTCATTGTCATGAAACATCACTGTAACATAGTTAAAGGAAAGAGTTAGGAGATATTCAGATAGGAACACAAAGTATGTTAGAACATTAGCATGAGCAGAAAAGCCCAAATACTCCAGTTTGGTAATTCAGCAATTTTTATTTCATCTCTATAGCAGTTTGTAGAAATCTTAAATTTATCATAATTTCTGGCATCTAACAAAATAGGAACTCTTAATTTCCATTATTTTAACTAATTTATATAACATTCTGCTAATACTTTCAAAAATATCTATCAGTTTCTTTTGTCCTTGTTTCTGTTTTCCTTCATAAGCTAAGGTATAATAGCTTCATCTTTATTTTGCATTCTTTTTGTACTTAACTACTATTGTTGTTCAGTCACTCAGTCCTGTCTGACTGTCTGTGACCACACGGACTGCAGCATGCCAGGCTTCCCTGTCCTTTACTGTCTCCCTGAGTTTGCTTAAACTCATGTCCATTGAATCCGTGATGCCATCCAACTATCTCATCCTTTGCCACCCTCTTCTCCTTTTGCCTTCAGTGTTTCCCAGGGTCAGGGTTTTTCCAGTGAGTTGGCTCTTCACATGAGGTGGCCAGAGTTTTGTAGCTTCAGCCTCAGTCTTTCCAATGAATATTTAGGGTTGGTTTTCTTTAAGATTGACTGGTTGGATCTCCTTGCTGTCCAAGGGACTCTCAAGAGTCTTCTCCAGCACCACCGTTCAGAAGCATCAGTTTTTCGGTGCTCAGTGTTCTTTATGGTCCAACTAACATCCATTCATACAAGCAGTGGACCTTTGTCAGCAAAGTGATGTGTCTGCTTTTTAATACACTATCTAGGTTTGTCATAGCTTTTCTTCCAAGGAGCAAGCGTCTTTTAACTTCATGGCTACAGTCACCATCCACAGTGATTTTGGAGCCCAAGAAAATAAAGTCTGTGGCTGTTTCCATTTTTCCCTGTCTGTTTGCCATTAAGTGATGGGACCAGGTGCCAGGATCTTAGTTTTTTGAATGTTGAGTTTCAAGCTAGCTTTTTCATTCTCCTCTTTCACCTTCATCATCATCTTTAGTTCCTCTTCACTTTCTTCCATTAGGATGGTGTCATCTGCATATCTGAGGCTGGTGATACTTCTCCCAACAATCTTTGATTCTAGCTTGTGATTCATCCAGCCCAGAATTTTGCATGATGTACTCTGCGTAGAAGTTAAATGGGCAGGGTGACAGTATGCAGCCTTAAAAACAAATTATGTTTCATAGCATCTATCATTTTAGCCTGCGAATCTAGTGATGACATCTGCTTTTCAAATTACAGTCTGCTGCAAATCCTGAGACTCCAAACTCAACCACCTCCAGAGAGGCCAGCACCCAGTCTTCTTCAGCTGCCACCAGCCAAGGCTATGTTTTACCAGAAGGCAAAATCATGCCAAACACTGTTTTTGTTGGTGGAATTGATGTTAGGGTAATGTATTCATGTTTTCATTTACTGAAAGTATTTCATGAATAGTGGGATTTGGGTACTGTTGCAAATGTAAGACTTCTTTTTTTTTTAAGTACTTCATGCAGGTTTGGAATTGTTTTTTATGCATAACCTTTAGGGGCTAAAAGTATCTTTGATATAGATACGTAGTTTGGGGATGCTTGGAGGAGATATTTCCACATCACCAAATCTTCTTTATAGTATAATTGAAATTTTTTAATGTTGAATTTTTACTTTTAAAAATCAAACTCTTCTGCATAGATGGATGAAACAGAAATTAGAAGTTTCTTTGCTAGATATGGTTCAGTAAAAGAAGTGAAGATAATCACGGATCGAACTGGTGTGTCCAAAGGGTGAGTAAAACATATGTTCAGTATAAATTATAATAAATATCTGAACTGTAGCATGTATAGAATTTCAGAAAAGAAAAATTGAAAACTGGTATTCTAACATTTGTGTAAATGAAATTTGTTACTTTTAACTTCTTTCATGTAGAGGATAAGTTTTGCTGACAGCTCTTTTATTTAATCATTTGCCTAGTGTTTGTATTTAAACATTTCTTATCTTCATTTCACATAAGAGGATTAGTCAGTTTTACCAAAGAATTTTTTTCTTCATACGTTTCACAGCATCTTAAATTTTGATGATTTTGCCGTAGATAATAAGTTAAACTCAGATTCATAGGTATGAATTTTTTGTTAATTAAGTTCCTACACTACCTTAATCTTCGTGAATTCTGATACAGATCTGTAGATCAGGGTAGGAAAGTAAAACAGTAGTATTTATAGAGAATCTAGCAGGTACATGTTAGTTATTTATCTCAGTATACTTTTTATCCTTTATCATTATTTAGTCAGTTATAGAACACTAGTTTTAAACCATGTACTGATACGGTGGTGATTTTATACTTCATCTATCTGACTTTCTAGCTATGGATTTGTTTCATTTTATAATGACGTGGATGTGCAGAAGATAGTAGAAGTAAGTAATCATCTTTTGGAAAAAATCTCTATTACGTTATGGATGTGGTGTTTAGTATTGTTTGCATCCTCAATATATATTCATTCTTTTATAAGATATAGAAATAAATATATTTCCTGTTTGAAATTCAGGCTTGGAATAATTTACATAACTTATTAGAACCTCTGTATTTTTGATTGAGCATCCAGCTTCATGAACTAGAGATAGGAAAGATTAGAGACAGAATAAAGGTTTTTTTTTTTAATCAAATTTCATAACTTCTCAAAATTTGATTAGAGTGAAGGTAAGTAAGGTGGTTTCATGCTGATAAGTTTTGATTTGGTATATTCTTACCACTGATCTTATCTGATAATAGTAATTTTAGAGAACTTGGGTATTTATCAAAGTCTTGGAAGTAAAGACTTGGACGTTAATTCTAGTTTTGATACTGTTTTATTTTCAGTCACAGATAAATTTCCATGGTAAAAAGCTGAAACTGGGCCCTGCAATCAGGAAACAAAATTTGTGTGAGTAAAGAAGGAATTGTTCTTGTTGACACATGTATGGCTTTTCAGAGAACTGAAAATAGGCTTTGTTTTCTTTTTACTCTTTAAAAAGGTGCTTATCATATGCAGCCACGTCCTCTGGTTTTTAATCCTCCTCCTCCACCACAGTTTCAGAGTGTCTGGAGTAGTCCAAACACTGAAACTTACATACAGCCTCCGACCATGATGAATCCTATAACTCAGTATGTTCAGGTAAGAAGTACTGTGTTCCTTTTTTATTTTGCTTGGTGTGTGTGTTATATTAGAGATCTTACTATTGATGGGAGCACCTTAAAAGTTAAGCCAGTCTTAGTTCTTACCCTCTGTGGAATCATGTCAGCAATTTCCATAATAGATGACAATCCTAGCGCTGTTTGAATACTTTTGAATGATGGGACATCTTGTGAGAAATGTCATTCTTAGTGTTGCTTGTTCTTGTTCAGTTGCTAAGTCCTGTCCAACTCTTTGCAACCCCATGGACTGCAGGATGCCTGGCTTCCCTGTCCTTTACTATATCCTGGAGTTTTCTCAAACACACATCCATTACTTCAGTGTACCATCCAACCATTTCATTCTCTGTTGTCCCCCTTCTCCTCCCATCCTCAATCTTTCCCAGCATCAGGGTCTTTTCCAGTGAGTTGGCTCTTTGCATCAGGTGGTCATATTGGAGCTTCTGCCTCAATATCAGTCCTTCAATGAATAATCAGGTTGATTTCCTTTAGGATTGTCTGGTTTGATGTCTTTACTATCCAGGAGACTGTCAAGAGTCTTCTCCAGCACCACAGTTCAAAAGCATCAGTTCTTAAGTGCTCACACTTTATGGTCCAACTCTCACATCCATACATGACTACTGGAAAAACCATAGCTTTGATTATACAGACCTTTGTCAGCAAAGTGATGTCTCTGCTTTTTAATATGCTGTCTAGGTTTGTCATAATTTTTCTTCCAAGGAGCAAGCGTCTTTTAATGTCATGGCTGCATTCACCGTCCACAGTGATTTTGGAGCCCAAGAAAATAAAGTCTACCACTGTTTCCATTTTCTCCCATCTATTTGCCATTAAGTAATGGGACCAGATGCCAGGATCTTAGTTTTTTTAATGTTGAGTTCTAAGCCAGCTTTTCCACTTGCCTCTTTCACCTTCATCAGGGGGCTCTTTAGTTCTTCACTTTCTGCCATTAAGATGGTATTATCTGCATATCTGAGGTTGGTGATAATCCTTCCGGTGATCTTGATTCCAGCTTGTGATTCATCCAGCCCAGCATTTAGGATGATGTACTCTGCATAGAAGTTTATTTATCAGGGTTACCATGTACAGCCTTACGATACTCCTTTCTCAGTTTTGAACTAGTCCATTGTTCTATGCCTGGTTCTAACTGTTGCTTCCTGAGCTGCATACAGGTTTCTCAGGAGGTAGGTAAAGTGGTCTAGCATTCCCATGTCTTGAAGAATTTCCCATAGTTTTTTGTGATCCATACTTTCAAAGGCTTTAGTGTAGTCAGTGAAGCAGAAGTAGTTGTTTTTCTTGGAATTCTGTTGCTTTCTCTATGATCCAAAAGATGTTAGCAATTTGACCTCTGGTTCCTCTGCCTTTTCTAAAACCAGCTTGTACATTTGGAATTTCTTGGTTCACATGCTGTTGAACCCTAACTTGAAGGATTTTGAGCATTATCTTGCTAGCATGTGAAACAAGCTCAATTGTATGATAATTCAAACATTCTTTGGCATTGCCCTTCTTTGGGATTGAAATGGAAACTAACCTTTTTCAGTCCTGTGGCCACTGCTGAGCTTTCCAAATTTTCTGGTATATTGAGTGCAACACTTTAACAGCATCATCTTTTAGGATTTGAAATAGCCCAGCTGGAAATCCATCACCTCCACTAGCTTTGTTTGTAGTAATGCTTCCTAAGGCCCACTTGACTTCACACTCCATGATGTCTGGCTCTAGGTGAGTGACCACATCCTCGTGGTTATCTGGTTCGTTAAGACCTTTGTTGTACAGTTCTTCTGTGTATTCTTGCCACCCCTTCTGAATCTCTTCTACTTCTGGTAAGTCCTTGGCATTTCTGTCCTTTATTTTGCCCATCTTTGCATGAAATGTTCCCTTGGTGTTACTTAAAGCTTGAATCTGCTTCTATATAGTTTGTCTTTATCTGAGAACTGATCACTGTAGCCATATAGAGTATATCTCTTCTCTATTTTTTCCCCAAATAACTCCTAAAATGCTTGAAGACAGTTTTCTTCGTGTGTTTACCTGGTTTCTTCTTTCCTAGGGTCAACTAGGAAATAAATTGCAATTTATTTGCAATGATTTCCAGGTGCCTCTTCATACAGATTGTTGATTTCTAGATGTATTATGGTTCTAACATGGATAAATTTCTGATGATTTAATTATATTTGTAAGTTCTATGAGTTTCTGGCATATAATTTGTCTTGCCTTGATTTAATATTTGAAGTGAAATTTGGAATACTTGTCTCCTATTGATAATAAATAACATTTATTTTATACCTACTTCGATTTACCTTCTTCAGTTCAAAAGACATTTTATTCTTAGGAAAAGAAATAAAATAATAGTGAAAAGGGTCTGCAGTGTCTCTCATTTGTTTGCATTTTTCATCTGCCTGAGGTATAGAATATATCTTTCCTTACAAAAGAAAAAAAAAAAAACAGAAGAAAAGCCCTGCTTGTTCATAAAATTTACCATGAGGTATTATTACCTATTATGGTATATTTTTGTATGGTACTACCTAGATATTTTCAGTCAATAAATATTTATTGAAATATATAATACATTGTACTATCTCTTTTCCAGTTTGGGGTTGTACATTGCCCTTAACTTTTAGAAGCAAAACAGAAAGAGCCAGAATGTCTGTGGGGAGTATTCCATGTTACCCCAAAATACTGTCAAAGGAATACAAAACTGCCTAAAAATATTCTTACCAAAAAAGCACATGTATTAATATAATGCTAATATGGAAAACTATTCTAATAGGGCTTCATCATGATTAAGAAAGAACTTCTGGGTGGGAATAAATATACAAAAAAGATAAACGTGGGCTTGCAAAATTAGTCACTTCCTTTATTTATCTCTTCCTTCTCCCAGCCCAAAAGGCTAACATTTGGCAGAGAATACTTATTTCTTCATGAAAGCTGTCACTCAGATAGCATTTTAGTTTGAATATAAAAAAATGAAGATTTCCTTATTTTCATGTTTTTATTGCATTGGGAATGATACTCCTTTCTGATTTTTAAAAATGTACGTTGTTCATTCATTCTTTCTGTAAACTTTGTTTTCAGGCTTATCCTCCTTATCCAAGTTCACCAGTTCAGGTTATCACTGGATATCAGCTGCCTGTTTATAATTATCAGGTAATTTAATAGGGATCAAAATTATTTATTTTGGAATATTATTTAGGCCTGTATGTAAATTTCCCTAATAGTTTGTCATTTAAAATAGTTGAGTGTGCCTAAAATTTAAGAAAAATAGAATTAGTCTAGAATTAGGGCTTCTCTATTATTTAGAATAAGAGAATAATATTTTGACAGAAATGAGCTTGGCAAGCTTTCTGTTGTACTATCTTACATATTTTGGTGTCCTCTTCTGTATTTCAGCTTGTAGTCTTCATCTTTGCTGTCTAATAGCTAAAACATACAGGCTGAATCTTAGGAGTCTTTATAGAGGCATAGATTGAGATAAAATGATTACTCAGTTCTTAGAACATTGAATTCCAGTTACGTTTGATAATGTTTATTTTAGCTGGCTACTAGAATTTCTGTCTGTAGATATGACCATATCTGTGACACTGACTATGGTAATAATTTCAAAGAGCTACTGTCTCTTGAGTTTTCCTGAAAACCAACTCCAGAAAATTGAGAAAAAGATGGAGTTTATATATGAAAGTAACAATAAAATCATACGTATCATAAAGTACTTTTCTCTTCCAGTTTCTTTTGTTATAACAAGCTCGAGGCCAGCACCGGCACCTCAGCATTATCTGTTTCAGGTCCTTGTGGCAGGGTAAACGGGTATTTATTTAGGTGTTATTTCCTTCTTGTTTTAAGATGCCACCGCAGTGGCCTGCTGGGGAGCAAAGGAGTTACGTTATTCCTCCGGTAAGGTGAAGTAGCCAAGCGTGTACTTCCTATTCTGTATTTTAAAAGTATTTGCGTATTACATTTCTTTGCAACTCAAGTGTGTGTGTGTGTGTGTGTGTGTGTGTGTGTGTGTGTGTATACACTCCCATGGGAGAAACTATGCTTTTTGTTTCTCAGATTATTTTGTATGTACTTAAGCAATGGCTGCCCTGCATACAACAGTGCTCGGTTACTTACTGATAGAATATGTCACCAAGAAAGGTAGTACTAATAACCTGTGCTATTTCTAACTCCAAGGATTTATAATTAATATTGAATCTGCCTCGAGTTTTCTAGCCAAAAAAAATCTGTTGAGAGAAGCAAAAACTATTTTCCTCTTAACACTGTTATATAAGAAAATAAATAAAACAAAAGAGGAAGCTACCTCTAAAATATCTGAGCCTTTGTTACCTTCTGTCTTTCATCAGGATTGGATATTTGAAGGACATAATATGAGCAAAAATTCTGAGGCACTGGGAAATTCCCTTTCCATTCCCACACTACATGTTAAAGTTTCTTAGAGAAATTGTCCTTCTAATTCTGGTTATGTTGACATTTCGAAATATAAGACTCCCATATTGCATTTCAACTATTTAGTTTAAAATAGTTTCTGAAATAATGTAATTGAACTTCAGAACAATGCACATTTAAACTTTCAGTACAAGCTCAGTATTTTGAAGAATATCTATTTAATGTACATCTCTTTAATTATACTTTTATCCTTTTAAATGTAGGCTTATACAACCATTAACTACCACTGTAATGAAGTTGATACAGGAGCTGAAGTTTTGCCAAGTGAATGCTCAGTTCATGAAGCTACTCCATCCTCTGGAAATGGCCCACAAAAGGCAAACATTGAATTTTGTTCATTAATGTTTATATTTCTATATGTGCTTTTTGCAAGTTTTAATAATAGCGCTTTGAGAAACAGGTATCTTTGCTCAGATTAAAATATAATATAGAGCTTGAGTTATTGACTAAAAGCCTCACAATTTACATAAAAGTAAATGAAATTCTAGGTACCTGCAAACCAGTTACTGATTCAATTGTCCTTCCCTTTCTTCCATTTTCATTGGGTTTTTTTGGTTTGTTTTTTAACTGTAGTTTAATAAGTATTAACATGGTTTGACAGAGTCCAGTGGGTAGTTTTTCTCACAAATCCTACTCTTCAAAAGAGGGATTAGTATGACTTATATCTACCTGTCTTTTACCAATTTAAACATTTACTTAGATAAATAATAATAAACAATTATTTATGGTATTTTCACCATAACATATCTGGTGGCAGTTCTCAAAAGTGGTGGACTCATTAGTAATTGAAATACTTAAATAGAGGTATTTCTTTTTTATCATTTTAGAGCAAATCCCTGTAATAATAATACTCTCATTCTTGAATTCTGTGTTTTTTGAATGGGTGAAGATGTGAAAAGTAATTGATCTGATTGGAATATGCGTAACACTGAATGATTTTCATAACAGTAAACAGTTCCCATTGGAGTATGTGTACTTCCTCCATGTATTTCTCAATGGAAAATTTTTTAAATTACTGAACTGTGCAGTGAAAATAATCCCAGATTTGTTATACAACTTAAAATTTGAAAAAAAAAGAAACACCAAAATAACTTGCAGTTATATTATCAGAGTTTAACCTGAATAAATGTTTCTTGAAATATTGAGACTCACTATTTCCCATCTAACAGGAAATATTAAAGAGACTTAAAAACAGCTATCTTAAGGCTTGACTAATTGAGCTTTCTAAACCAGTACTCTATCACTAAGTTTCTGAAATAATTCTTAAATTTGGTATAAAAGTTACATACTACATGACATGGTAAAAATTTAAAAATTGCATGAGAATTCTTTAGAAATAAGTATATGTATTCATTAAGCTTTTCCAAAAGCTTGTTACCAGTGAGTAAAAGAGTGAATAGTCTACTGAAAACTTCTGTGTTTCAGAAATCTGTGGACAGAAGCATACAGACGGTGGTGTCTTGTCTGTTTAATCCGGAGAATAGACTGAGAAACTCCTTTGTCACTCAGGACGACTACTTCAAGGTATGAGAAGAATAGTATGCAGGATAAAAAGCACGCTTGTCACCCATACAGCATCTTTCTTTCCTGTGGTATACATATATTTATATATATACTGAGCTTACATAGAGCATATAATTGAACTCTTAGCTTTTGACTGTAACCCGAGAGTGAGTTTTAAGTAGCAGTGTATCTGCTTAAATCTTGCTTGGTATAGTGTAGGTTACCCGTAGGGAAGAAATCTTTAGCAGAAGCGTATGATTCAGGGACTAAACAACAACAACAACACTGTAATTCAAAGGGTTCTTGAAAGAAAATATTGTCTTGACTAAATAGGAAAAGAAAATTTTAAATACAGAAAACAAAACTTAGAGTACGTGGATATTGGACTAAGAAGAAGAAAGAATTGAATACTCAGAGGATGCACTTAAACCTTTGTGGAGGATGTAAGTGAAGTAGTAAAAAGAGCTGAGTAGAAAGAAACAAAAGTTGTTTCAGAGTTTCTAAAGTGGAGAAGAATGTGGCTGTTTGAATTTAAGAAAGTGTCTATAGTTTCTGATCCTAGTGCTATCATCTTGGACAAATCACTTAAATCTCACTAAGGCTCTAGTTTTTACAATTCTGAAATGAGGAGTCTCTGGAATCCCTTTAGTTCTCAGTTTCTGAATATGGAAAGAAATTTGTTACTTCACCAAAGGAAGAATATTGTGCTTATTATTAGTAAATGGAAGTTCTTTGTTGTTTTTTTTACGGCAGTCTTACTGAGATAACAATTTTCATTCCCCGCAGTTCACCCATTTAAAGTGTGCAAGTTAATGCTTCATAGAACATGCACAGAGTTGTGCAGTCATAAGTACAGGAAATTTTAGAGTGTTTTAATCACCTCCAGAATAATGCTCCCTACCCATTACTCACTCTCTGTTCTCCCCAGCTCTCTAGCCTTAGGCTGCCTCTCATCTCTGTTTAGGAATTTGCTTGTTCTGAATGTTTCATGTCAATAGAGTAATACATGTAACCTTTGTGACTGACTTCCACCAACTGAAATGTTTTTGAGGCTCATCAATATTACAGCAAGTATTAGTACTTCATTTTCTGTTTATTTATCGATCTACAAGTTTGTGTTTATTAATTCATCACTTACTTGATAGACATTTGGGTTGTTTTCCACTTTGAGGCCCTGATGAGTAATGGTATGAACATTTGTGTACTAATTTTTGTGTGGACATACATTTTTATTTCTCTTGGGTATATACCTAAGAATGAAATTGCTGAGTTAAATAGTAACAGTGTTTAACTTTCCAAGGAGCTGCCAGAATTTTTCCAAAATGCAGCATTTTACATCCAAAGGGAAATATTAAACCATTGCTTTGTATCTTAAAACAGGGAAAGGAGCATAGCTTTTTTCCATCAATGAATGGAAATAGGATAAAACTTAAAGCATTTTTAGAAGAAGTACTTAGGGCTTCCTTTAATATAAAAGACTAGAGCTGTAGCACAGTTAAGTTCTTAGCCATCTTCTCAATAGGGAGTAGACTTAGTCATTTAAAGTTGACTTTTGTTTTCTTGTTTTTCATTGTACATAGATAGTAAATTTAAAGGGAAAGAATTGGGGGGCTGTGTGACAGCTTACTTTGCCCAGGGTTCTGAAGGTTAAATAGTCAGTACTACCGAATTTGTTTGTAAAGCAGAAAATGTTTAACCAGCGAGTCTTTAAACTTGATTTTTTACCTGGTATTAAGCAGAAGTCTACCTTTGAACCTTCCAAAGTTTTCTGCTCCTCTGAGCTAAGAGTTAGAAGTTGTCTAGCATCTAGACCTGTTTATTTTGATTAGCTAAATGTTGTTACTGTTGTTTTAATTGAATTTAAATGCACTAAGGCAGGATATGGAGAAGGAAATGGCAGCCCACTCCAGTTATTCTTGCCTGGCAAATCCAGTGGACACAGGAGCCAGGTGGGCCCCAGTCCCTGTCGTCGCAGAGTCGGACACAGCTGAGCACTCACACAACGCAGGATGTGCCCTCGTTCCACGATAAGTTCCACTCTTAACTCCAGCCCCTTCATAAGCTTCCATACCCTATCTGATTGTTTAAAATACTTGAATTTGTGACCACTTTTCTGGACTTTAACCTAAATAGGATATTACCCTGTTAACACATTACATAATTTCCAGAAGCTACCCTTTATATGATAGCGGAATTTAATTCCTAGGAAAAGGGCACAATTAAGCTAAAAGCATAGAGAAGAAAATACTTTTATTATGTTATTACTGGTTCTCAGCTCCATCCCTCTTTGTAAGGCCTCATTTCTTCTATCTGCACATCTGCTGGCAACAAAGTAAAAGGAAATTTTTGCATATACTTTAATTTTTCTATTCATTTCCTTAAAAATTATATATCTTCTCTATAGCTTAAGGATATGCCTTTAAAGATGCCAAAACATGTATCTTTTAACCTAAAAGCATAGGGTTTCAGATTGAAATGGAGTGCTGTTCTCAAGCCATCATTGAGAAGCCGTGATTTCTGTTACATGTATTTTAGTAAAAATACGACTGTTTAAAATTTCATGTTTTTCACCTGCTCTCTTTGGGACATCAGTGCAGAGTCATGAATTAATAAGAATCTGCATATTAGAAAACTGTGTTGTTTTCCAAGTCCTCGTTTTCTGAGTCACCAAGACTTGTTTTTTAACTGAATTGTTGAATAAAACTGAACATTGGTGCATTTGTTACCTGAAAGTTCAGGAATGCTTTCACAAAAGGATCACTTTTCTCTCAATATTTATAGTTTTAAATTAAAAAAAAAAAAGCTTTCTTTAAGTAATTTTCAAGTCTCTTAGGTCGTAATGGTAATAGGAATTTTCAATGAAATTAAAATGGACTATTTCTGTCTTTTCTAGGATAAAAGAGTTCATCACTTTAGAAGAAGTCGGGCAGTGCTTAAGTCTGTTTGATCCTTTTTGCTAACTTTCTAGTCTCATAGGAAGTCACAGGTTTTGAATAGTAAGAGACTGAAAGTTTTCCACTACTATAGAAATTTAATTCTGAATTTTGATAAATCACACTCAGACTTTATATGTTATATTAGATTGCCTAGTTTTATTTTACATTGAAAGTTTTTCATTAGACATTTACTTAGAAACTGGTTCTGTGTTGAATATATAGTTAAAAGTGAAAAAATAATTGAGACTGAAAATAACTTTAAGATATATCTGTAAGGATTTAAACTTGACATTTTAAGAGTTTAAAAACAAATGCTGATTTTTCCAAAAAAAAATTGTTTTAGAAAACCTATTTTGAAAGGTCAGAATTTTGATGGTTTAAATACAAGCACTACACTTCTCCAACAAGTACCTATGAACAGTACAATATCTGCAATATTGTGCTTTTATGATTTATCTAGAAATTTACCACAAAAGCAGAGTTTTTAAACCTGTATTTTTAATCAGTGAAACTCAATATATAGTTAGCTTTATTGAAGTTTTCCTTATCTAAACCCAGTAAAACAGATTCTATACAAACAGTCCAATCAGTGGGTCTTATATTTATTACTTCAAAATACTTTATCTTTTATCTGGAATCCACACATAGAGATAACCGATTGGGATGGTAATTAGGATAACTAAAATTCTGGGCCAATTTTTTTTTTTTTAAAGAATCTAAAACAAACAACTTTTCTAGGTACATAAACTTAGTTGAGTTACCATTCTCCTTTTTTCTTTTACTTTTTTTCCCCTTGAAACGCTAAACTCAATGGCTGTATCTTAAATTGTGCAAAATATTGGTATTAAAGAAGACTGAAACTTTTATGTCACTTAAAAGTTAATCAGAGTATCTGAAAGGAATTGTTTTTATAAGAAACATTAAAATATTAGTTATTTGTTAAAGAACAGAAAGATTTTTATTTTGTTTTTTTAGCCTGTTTTTTTTTTTTAAGTAAAATATGTCCAGGAAAGTCAGAGCAGTTTTGATGTTTCTAAACCACAAAAGATGTTTAGTTAGTAATAAGCATATCCCCAAAATACACTTGAGTTAGTTAACAATCCATTTTTAGATTAGGTAGGCTCCTCCTTAGACATTGCAAATCGTGACGAATAACTAGAGATCCAGAGCCCCTTTGCTGTACGCACGGTCTTGCCTTTCCAGTCTCCACCGTTCTTGCAGGAGGTTTGCTCCTGGAACAGGTGATGTGAAGCAAAGAAGTAGTAGTATGAGCAGTGTGAGAGTTAAGCCTTGGAAAGGGTAGCAGTGGGATAACCCCTTTCTAAGGGAATCACTTGTAGCAGCATCATTTGACCTGCCGTGGGTTTAGAGGAGCCTCCTGGCTTTTCTTTCTTGGGCCAGCCCCTTCATTAACACGTGGAAACTCCATATAGCCCTGTCCTAATGACGCTTCCATGGGCCATGCCATCAGTGCCCATTGTCTTATAGTTCCTAATAATTTTCCTTCTGAATCTGAAGGGAAGAATCTTTTAAGGATGCCCAAGAGGGCTTTCTTATGCCTCAGAATTTCAAAGTGCCCTGAAATTTGTTCTTTTTAAAATTCTCTATACTTTTTTGTGTGTGTGCTATAACATTCTTACATGTATTATTCTGTGATTAAATCTCCAGGTTACTATAAATGATACCTAAATTCTAAAGAGCCAATTATTATTCCAGTATGACCTTATTCCCTTAAGAAAAAGGGAATAAACGTTTTGCCTGCTATTTTGTTGGACTGAAGTATTTAAAAGAGTAAGGTAGAAGAGACAAAATCCTGAACCTTTCAAAATGGAAAATTAATTTTAAACTTAAAAATGTGTTCCTATTACCTATGCTGATACTATCTTTGCATAAATGAATAAATAGTAATAAAGAAACTTTTTTTTCAAAAGTGTTTTGACCTGCTTACTCATCTCATGTTATCTTTAAAAAATGGTGACAATTTGAGTGGGTAGTATGTAACAAGATTTAGTGAGATCCTTGAAATTCAAAAGTGTATAAATATTGTTCAGTTTCTTAAATCTGTCCAAGTTTATAAAAGCACATTTTGGTACATTGTAGTTTTGTTGCTTTATCTTATGAAGCTGAGATATTTTTGTGAGGAAGTAATTTCTTTATTTGATTCTTTATTTGGTTCTAAGCGAAGCTAAATTAGTTTATAACATTTTGGGACCCTAAAACTAGACTATGTATGTATCTTAAAACTGTTGTTTTTTAAATATGCTTGATAATTTAAGCATATTTGCAGTTAAGGATTACCAGAAAATTCACAACAAAGAGCCAAGCCATTAGGATGGAAAAAAATTTTATACCATGCTTTTTTTTTTTTTTAAGTTGCAAATTATGGCAAAAATCAACTCCATAAAGTTTGGTCACCCCTGTAAGAAACTTATTCTGCCTGCTTTCTTTTTTTTCTAATAAAAACATGTTATCCTTGTGATTGTTCAGAATAACTATTCAATATTGATTAGCACCCTTGAATTGCAAGGAAGTCATTGGGTTTAGTTTATAAAACCTTGTATCCACCTCTCTGAAATTCTCTTGGTTGTCTTTAAAGGTAAACTTATAAAACTGGGCTGCCACATTGCTTAGTTGTTTTACCTCCTTTCATTGGTGGTTTGGAGGTAATAAGGAGCAGCAGTGATAAGATAGCATGCCACTCTGCTTTCACAGAGAAACACTAGAGAGGATGGGAGGCCCTAAGGCAGAGAAAAGCTTTCCATTGACCGAGTCTTACAGATAGGCCCAGCTGTTGAGTATGATCATTTGGAATCCTCAGAACACTTCTAGATGAAGATTGCTCCTGCATACATTTTGATAACTCTGTAATCTAGCTCTTCCCAATGTTATGTGTAATATGTTTCTCTGTGTGTAACTGAATATTTTTGAGCAGTTCCTCACCACCCATCATCAAAGACTCTTGAGTTTTCCATCTGTAGATGGTACATTTGGCAGTAGAACACAGTGAACATAAGAAGCTGAAACTATAAGCATGCGTTTTGAATGCTCGTATGGAATATTCAATCTGCATGGCAAAGGAATGGTAGGTAATTCTGCATTACATTCAGAATTAAAAACATCTGTCCAATACGGCGACAACTGTGGGCCAGGATCACGAAAATGCAAAAAGAATTGTCTCTTGATAGAGAAACTGAAGCTACCACTGTACAATTGGCTCTCTCTGTGGCGGCTATATTTTATGTTTTTAACTGGTCTGAAAAGTTTTCCAGTTGAGTCTCCAGTTCATTTTCCCAAGACACATGGGGCTTTGTACCTTACATTCACCTCTATTAAGGCTGTGTGC